GAAAAATGCTATTAAATACCGGTATTATAATAGCGCTTTTGGAAAAACACTATTAATTACCGGTACTATAATAGCATTTTTAAAGCGCTATAAAAAAAATTACAATAACAGTCTGATTAATAGCGCTATAAAAAAAAACGTTATTAAATAATTTTTTTAGTAGGGTTGTCTCTTTGCATAAATATATAATGATTGAAAATTATACATAATATTCAATATATAGATACATTTTTACAAAGTTTATGTTATTTCATTATTAGTCACTAGCGTTCATACGGGCACTCCCGTGTCCGTCTGTCCGCTTTTTTTAATTCGCACAGCATAGGAAAATAAACGTGTATATATTTTGTATGAAGTATTTATCATACTTACGATTAATTAAAAATAATATTTTTAAATACCCTCAAGCAGTCTTAAAATCATGATGATAAATGTATATATACTAAAAATACTTTAGTGAATTAACTATATATTAATGCTACTATTATTTTAAACATACCGAATTAAATAAAATTTAGATAAAAAAATATATAGTCTAAACATGCTAATAATATTATTAAATTTTGAAAATGATAAACAAAGTTATTCTAAATATATTAAATAACCGAATAATACAAAGTACTATTTATATTGTATAATCAATAACATTCTTTAATATGAAGGTCGGACATTAAATCTTTATTCTAAGAAGTTTCTTTTTTCTGCCATTGTTTTGCGTATTAAATAAAAAATGTAAGAGTCTCATATTAGAATTTTTTTAGAGAAAAAAATAGTGAAATTAATAGTAATTAGTGTAATATATTATTTTTTTTATCTGTTAAATATTTGAATTAATTATTCATACATCCTTTTATCAATGTGATATTAAGCTTTAATAAACTACAAATACATCCTGAAATATCTCTCTATAAAATACTTTTTTTCTATTTTAAATGAAATATTTAATATCTTTTTAATCATACATTTGATTTCAAAATTTATTTTGGTTCATTAGCTTTAAAAAAAAATCCTTATTGCTCTATTAGTTCTTCAAAAAGTATATTAGACGAAAATGATATATCATTTCACCTAAAGAGAGAGTATTTATAATTTGGTTATGACATAAAACATAGATGTTAATATATATTTTTAGGGTTTAAAAATAGTACACTGTCAGTACATTTTCTTTTTTCTCATATTTTAATCATAGAGACCAAACATTGATATAAATGAATTGAAAATCTATAAAACCTTAATACATTAATTTTAGGTCTCTTGTTTTCCTATTTTATCAGTTATATCATAAAATGTTCCTCAATCATATAAATATTTCGTAAATAAAAAATATAAATATATGTTACATTTTTTATCATATAAATAATCAATATTAAAATTAAAATTAAACAAAATATATGGTTTATAATTTTAAAAAAAAGTGTCAAAGTGCTGGTGGCACTATAAAAACCCTTTCATTTGAGAGGGTCAGGTATTCAATATTCATCCTAATTCACATATACTCTGTACTTGCACTCTTTTTTCTCAATTCTTACTTTAGCATCAGATTGCGTTGTAGGTACACCCTTTTCATCATCTCTCACACTCAGTATTACAGACGTTGTCAAAATCAAAAATTATTTTGTATCTTTTTGTATCTAGGAGGATATAGTATATGATGAACTTTGTAAATGTGTTAGGATATCCCTAATACCTTTATGAATAATAATATTACTTTATTTATTAAAAAAAACATATGTTTTCTAAAGATACTGGTATTATTTAGTCTCTATCTCTATCTCTCTCACATATAAATATTCATATATGTCTCTAAAATAAATATTCATGTATATGTACTTGTAAAAGGAAATATTTCTAAAAAGTTTGTTTTAGACATGAAAATATTAGATTAACATTGACTCTATACATTAAATATACAAAACCTTTAGTGAATGATGATTTGGTTAAAAAATCCTAGTCTTTATCTTTATACTATTTCAATCTTGTCAAGTAAAACTTTAATATAATTGTTAAAGAAAAAAAAAGGATTGTTATAAAAAAAACTATTACTACAATGAATCATTGTCATTATTTTGTAGTTATGATTAGCACATAAATGACTTATTTTTTAATCTTTATTATATGATGATGGTTATTATTTTGTACTAATGATCACCTCAAATTTTAAACTTCTTTTTCTATTCTAACATAATTAAACTAATTTTAATCTCATAAATGAAAGGAAATCTCAAATTTAAAATTCAACTTCATGAAAATTGTATCACAATTCTTAAATTCCTAAAGAATCTGAAAATTGCATCACAATTCTTAATAAATACCATTAAGAATAACAAAAGCATACTTTCTTTTTTCCTCGTAACCTTCGATATTGGTAAATTGTAGGTCTTATTTTAATAAATAGTTATAGCAATCCCTATAATTAAAAGGAAAACTGTATGAGAAGATATAATACAACTCCTTTCATTTTGTGTATATTGTAGACACATAATTTAATGCAACAAATATAATCAATTATCTCTATATTATATATTTTTTACATTTTCCCATTGGTATTGTGGTTAAATTGGGTATCCATGAACTATCATTGCAAAAATAATTCATCGAAAACCGATATATCATTCGAAGATGATTTCTCATAAATTTTCTTCTTCAATCACTTCCTGTAATATCAAATTAAAACTATTTTCTGCAATGCAATTCAATTAAATTTAATTCGCCTCATAGACGTCAATGTAAATGGTTAGTTCTCATATCATACTTTGGTGAATATAGCATCCAAATTGATACAAACCACACCTAATCTATAGATAAACAAACATGACTTACATGTGTGGAGAAGGAAAACACAAATAATTTGAAAAATGCAGAATATATAATATATGCCTTCAATTGATGTGAAATTGAAAAAATATATATAGCATCCAAACATCAAAAAATAATTTACAGTGACATTAAGTTACTATTATCATGGGTTTGGAAATGAAAGACATGGAAACAAATGTCGTGCATCTGAAATAGTAGAGTTATGCAGTTTAAGTTTCAACAGTTAACAATGTTAGAAGCAGTTACAATTTGTAAGGAAAATTTTAAAAAAATAGAAAAATGCCTTCAATTTCATAAAAAGATTTTAATGGTCAATTCTAATACTATTTAATGCATGCTAACATATCAAAATATGTTACCATGTTCACCAAAACAAATATTAACTTCGCTCATGTCAACAAATTAATCATCAATCTTTTTTTATCTTTGCCATGGTTTTATTGTGACATTATCCGCTTATCCTACAAAATGAAAATGCATAAAACTAACCATAATAGAGATTGACACTGAGTATGTGAAAACGGAAAGAAAAATGCAGAAGGAGAAAAGATAGAGATTGAGCAAGAAAGAAATTGAGTAATTGTGAAAATGGTGAAAATATATGTATGATTATTAAATTAACACTAAAATGGTGAGAATATGTATGATTTCCTAAATTAACACTAAAATGGTGAAAATATATATGATTCCTAAATTAACACTAAAATGATGGAAATATATATGATTCTTAAATTATTAGTCACAGAAAAATGACAATCTCATCAAAACTTGTAAAATTAGAGCAATGTATTTTTACTCAAACACTAAAATCAAAAGCTACACATTAGAACAAAACAAAATTAAAGTAAATTGAATAAACCAATAAAACATACATGAACATATACAAAACTGATAATATTAAATGATTTATATATTTTGACTTTATCATGTTTAAGAACATATCTAAAAAAAATTAAAAAGTGAAAATATGAAAAAATAGATTAAAGGGATGGAGAAAGGAAAGGATAATATTTAGATAAGAAAAAAAGAAAAAAAACGATAAGAGTCTACTTCATTGTTATTCAGGATTCTCTACCAAGTTTTGTAATTACTTTTGTTTTGCTATTGAAATGAAGAGCAGTTGTTTCACACTTAAATGTCTGTGTACGGCGGTTTTCGTTTTTGTTAAGCGGTTGACATTTTTGCTCACACATGGTTGTAATTAAAACAAACTGCATAGATAATTTTGAAAATATTACAATTAAATAAGGGTAATTTTGGAACAAAAATAAGCCACACTAAAAACTTATATCCCCTTTATATATAGTTATAGATGTCATTAAATTATATTATTTGATTTTATTTGTTTGTAGCACATGTTTTATCAATTTAAAAGAGCAATGTTAATTTTTAATATTTTTATTTAACAGTATATATCTTTTTACTTATTAAATTTCGTTTGTTAAGAAGGGTACATTCTTTTCCTTTACACATTAAATACATGCAAACTATATATACATATATATATATATATATATATATATATATATATATATATATATATATATATATATATATATATATATATATATATATTTTTTTTTTCTTCTTCATTTATGCACTAAAAAAATGAACAGTTAAATATAATAACGTATATTAAAAAAAAATTTAAATTTAAATTAAAACTAATAAAAAAGAAATATCTATTTATATTTTTGATGAATTTGTTTGTTAAATAACGAAAGTACTTAGCCTAGTTATAATAAAAGAGAGGTGTCATATTAGAGTGTTGGGGTTGCAGTAAAAATTCTCTGAAGTAACGGCCCGATTGGGCAGCTCTTTATCATGTTTCGAATGTGATGCTATCCTACTCGAAAAACCCGTAATAGTGAGGGGAAAGGCGTGTGGGACAGGGTCAGCGTGATTTTCACGCGAGGACAGCTCAGCAATTTTGGAATATATTCTAATAATAATATAAAAAACGGAAAATCAGGGGACTAAAATGCCTGGTTTTATATTTCATCCGATTAGACGAAATAAAGAGGGAGTAAACGAAGATTCTAGAAAACGCGTTACAGCAGTAGAATAAGGGGAAGTTTGTTAGAGAGATTGAAGCCGCAGACACAGTTAGAGAGGGAGAGAAAGGTGAGTAAGGGTTTATCCATTCCAAAAAAAAAGCGACGGAATTAATCTAGCGACGAAACATGTCTGGTATTGCTCGTGGACGCCTTGCAGAGGAACGAAAATCATGGCGAAAGAATCATCCTCATGTTCGTAACATTTTTCTCTACTTTTGATTCATCAATTAACAACTTTTACTATATGTTATCAATTTGTGTTCTTCTTTTTCTCAATTTAGGGTTTCGTTGCCAAGCCTGAAACGCTCCCTGATGGAACTATCAATTTGATGGTCTGGCACTGCACTATTCCTGGCAAGATCGGGGTACATTTCTTGCTTTATTCTTTGATAATTTTAGATGTGAATATATAACAATATACCTTGTTCTCAAATTGGTCCTTTAGAGTTTGAATATAGGGCTTAAATTGATATTAAGTAGTTAAATTTAGGGCTTATATAATATGAGGACTTATTGATAGTAGGTGTTTAAATGTAGGGGATCAACATGTCATTTTAATTAGAGTTGGCGACCATTTTGAAATAGGTCAACTGTATTTCACTTTTGTTGAGCCACATATCAGTAATGTGTTATGACAGATTTAGCTATGTAAGGGGCAGATTGAGATACTATTTTTTTTTTCATCCAATGAAAAGTTTTAGATTTGTGGTTTGATGATTTATCACATACTAGTAATATTCTATTGGGGTCACGTGATTTATAAATGACATCTCCCATAAAAATTAAGTTCAGTAACTTGATAAAAATTGAATGAAACAAAAGTTGAAAAACAAAAGATAACACCCTCGCATCAAAACCCAATGTTCTCTTCAACCATAATCTAAAAGAGTGAAATATAGTCAGCATTCAGAAATCTTATCACATCCTTGTATCATTGCCAAAGTTTGCAACAGATTTCTTGTAACTTATCTCTCTAGGATTCAGAGTAGAATTGCTAATTCCTTAATGATCAGACTCTCCAGTACTATCAAATTCATGAGGGAAAATTCAAATGTATGATAAAAGTCATTAGCCCCCAACTTCCTAGCTAACAAATCAAACCTTATTGCAATCACAATAGAGAGTGCTAGAATTACTAAAATATCTGCAGTTCTAGAATTGAAAATATTGAATTGAATAAAGTAACACCTCATGCTAACACTTGCTTTCTTGATCCTAATCAGTTCTTCTGCACCAATACTTTATTTCTGATTACTAGTATTGTAGAACTAAATTATATTATCTTGAAGACTAATGGCATCATCTTGTATCTTTGAAACTACTCAAACATTTTATATCGTATATTTATGTTAATGAATAATGTACTCTTGCTTCATGCCTTGGATAACATTTGCAAATGATTTAGAGGCTTGTTCAGTCATTTGGAAATTGTTAATTATTCTGCATGTCAAATTCTTTACTGGAGATCACACCTTGGTATAGAGTTGCCAATGAATGACTGCCTGTTTGATTGATATTAGCACTGTTATTTACTATATTGCAATTATTTTGTTTGTCATTTACTGCAGACTGATTGGGAAGGTGGTTATTACCCACTGACAATGATCTTCAGTGAAGACTACCCTAGCAAGCCACCTAAGTGTAAATTCCCTCAAAGTTTCTTCCACCCTAATGTGTATCCGTCTGGAACTGTTTGCTTGTCTATACTTAATGAGGATAGTGTAAGTATGATTCTTTTGATGATTGCATAACTGTTTCAAACTATTATCATGTAATTTCACATACTTCTGAATATGTGGATTTATATTATCATTCTTACATTTTAGGGGTGGAGACCAGCTATAACAGTGAAGCAAATTCTTGTGGGTATTCAGGACCTGCTTGATCAGCCTAATCCTGCTGACCCTGCCCAAACAGAAGGCTATCATCTATTCATCCAGGTAGATAACCTGAATAACCCCACATTTTCCAACTGATATTCCATGAGAGTTGTTAATATGTTTGCTCTTCAAGTTACATTTTATTAAACACATTGCAATAGTAGATTTTCAGAAATGGTTGTTATATAATGAGGCTGTAGCCAATTAGATTAGGGTGCTTATATTTGTTTGTGATTACCAAAGGTGTATCCTTACATGATATTTTCTGCAGGATGCAGTGGAGTATAAAAGAAGGGTCAAGCAGCAATCAAAGCAATATCCACCTCTTGTCTAGCACTATGTTTGCTCACTTTAGGAAAACTATTCTAGTACGGTAGATGTTTTCTATTTCTTGTCCGGTGCTAAAATTGTTGTATGATTGCTGGCTGCCATGCCATCATAACATGCAGAATCCTTGGTTTTAACAATTTTTATTTACTCTCAAGTCTGGATAAAATGTTAATATATGACAATATGAAAGTCAACCAATAATACTTGTTGGCAATACTTGCTGGGTACATTTCTATAGAAATGGATAATTATATGACATTATGATTGCCGTTATGAATTCGTTGATTCCTTGAAGATCAATAATAGATCTAATTGGTGAGTTGGTTTTTCACTGACACATTATTTACACAATCAACTATGTATCCCGCCAACAAATGACTAACTATATATCCTGCTACCTCAGCCTGTAAAATTCAAATTACTTATATGATTTGACATTTTAGAGTATTATGATTAGATGTGTGTAATATTTTTTTTTACACTGATAGTGCATTACCATTAATCTCATATCAAAAAAGAAAAATATTTCTTTTAGTAAAATCTCGATGAAATTTTGCTTCATAGGCAACAAGGAAGCATTTCCTCTAAAAATGTGTTGGATTCTAATCCCACCCTAATTGGGGAAAAATCATTGGGCAATTTCGAAAATTTTTGGAAATATATTTTTCAGACACACCTTGATTATATTAAATCGTACATTTTTAATTGAGATACTTATGTAATCTTCTTCTACAATCAGGAACAGAATCTCCATTTTTGCCCTCCATAGTCTCTTTAACCAGTGCTATAACATATTCCCAAATACATACGTATGCAATATGAACTTTGAATTGAAATAAACACATGATAACACAATCAATAAAATACAGTATATTATGACCAAAACATGCAAAACTCATGAATGAGTTAAATTACATGATCAAAACAATAACAGTGCGATGGAAAAAAAATATTTTTGTTATTATAAGAATTAGTTGAAACAAGAAGAAAGAGATGAATGTCCTTTGGGTGAAAAGATAGAGCCAAAGTTTCTATCAAGAGTCATGTAGGAGCTTTTAAGTGATGAACAGAAGTTACAAAACTACGATTTCATATTTTTGTTTTAAATGTATTTTTGAATATTATTTTTTTGCAAAACGAGAGTGTGACTCATTTACACATGAATTGGTGTATTTGGATTGCGTATAGAGATGCATTTTCGAATTCTAAGAGTATTTGTGGTTTCTCACGAGAGTGTCGTAATAATTTTATGGTGCATTAATTGATTCCCAATTGTGTTGTGATTGCAACTTGATTGACCTTGTTTCTTTTCGTTGACGTAAGGATCTCACCATTTTTGAAGATTGGTGGGGCTAATAGTAGAATTGGTCAGATCTTAATTTTTGAGTGTTGGTGGGGTTGTTGGGGACCTGCTGCTCAATGGGCGTTCCTTAGAGACATTTCTGGTCATTATCATATCACTCTAAAATATGGCAATTATTGTGGGGATCAAAACCTTTTCGTTTCAATAATGATTTGTTGTCTCATAATGACTTTTCTGAGTTGGTTCTTAATTCTTGGTTTGTTTCTTCAACCCAGAGTTGGAAGACCTTTGTCCGCATGGGGAAAATTTTATTTGTAAAAGCTACCCCAAACGCTAGAATAGTCATGTCTTCTGTAACCTGGATGATTGAATTGAGTCTCTTAGAGTTGTTGTTTGGGGTCTCCTTTCACTAGATCAGTTAAGGGATTTTATGACCAAACTCTGACTTTTATTGATAACAATAAAAGAGGGTGAGACCAAGATTCCTTCCAAAAAACAAAGCTTGGACAATAGACTTAGGTTATTTGACTTTGCTCTGCCAAGATATTCTCTTATTGGCATCGAAACTTTTACCTCTTAAATCTTCCTAGCACAGAGAATATGGAATTGATATTAGAGATCGTCTTCCATGTGTTTTGCAATGCCTCTATGATGTTTATGGTGGTTGCGGGCCGGGGAGAAATTTTGGCCCCGGGAAATCCTTCATAGAAGAGAGATACCTGGAAGGGAGAATACCCTCTTTTTTGGTTGCCAAGATGCCCGACTTACGACATCCTTGGAAGCCAAAGAAAAGGTTCTCGAAGAGGCGAAAGCTTCTGTGGCGAAGTTGACCTCTCAAGTTACTGCAATTAAAGGTTTCCTTCCAAAGAAGAAGGATTCCTTTGAGGCCCACAAGGAAAAGCTGGTGGTGTTGACGAAAAGGCTTTGTGATGCTATAAAAAAAGGTATTAAGATCATATTTAAATATTTGAAGAATGAGGCCAATAAGGTGGAACTACTATACCTGGGTATTTAGGTTCCTTAGTCAGGGATGGATTTATAGCTGGTGATGATTGTTGATGCGGTAAAGCAGCAAGCAAAGAATATTAAGTACCCAGTTTTATTGTCTCCACATGGATTAGTGCGATATGAACGCCGTTCAACGGCCTCTACATTTCTAAGCTTATTGTTCAAAAGTTTTGGTTTAAAAGGGTTCAAGGAACCATAAATAAAAACAGAAAATATAAAATAAAGACTAATATACAAACGGAGCCTTGTTGGGATTGGATTTCATCAATTGATAACACATGCATTCTTCTATTCAAGTTAAACACAACGCAATCATTCCTCTAATACCCTTACGTATCGTCCATGACAAAGCTTATCTCTAACGCAGCGTCGAGAGAACAACCATGTTGTCTCATTGGTGATCTCTCATCCAATAAAAACACAACACAGAGCATTACGAATTGATACCCGTGCAAATGTTACGCCTAAATCTATCTCTAGCATTTAGGACCTAACAAGTAATCATCCTAGATCCAGATCTGAAAAGTATATCTCTATCACGATTCAAATCAAAGATAAACGGGTAAACAAAGACGACACCCATATCGAATAAATAATAGTTTTGCATAAAACACAATGATCAAAATACGTACACACGATTAACCCTTTTTACATGTATTCACCTAATTTGCCAAATTTTTATGAACATCGTTCTTCATCACTATTATTACATACCCACACAATATCATATTGATCCTACCCATGCTACCCATGTTACTTAATCAACACAACACCATAGAAGATACAATGAATATCAACTTCAAAACCATGTCAAAAGTTTGTTTATTGATAGAAGAAAATCTGAGATCAAAGATGTGAAAAGGTTTTGTCAAGACCCACAAATACATAATCAAAGATAATCAATCAATAGAGAATCCAAACTAGTTCACAAACATAAATTAGATGAAATACATAAGGTATCAAAAGATTACATCCAAACCCCAACAAGAGATAAAAGATCTTACCTCCTCCCTCTTAGGGTTTTCTGCTTCTCTCTCTAAAATAGATGAAGAGAGATAAGTTCTGATGTTCCTAATGTTACAATATGGAATAATGAAAAGTTATGACCTAAAAAGTAGTAAAAACGCATAAATAATACATTCAGGATCTGTCATGTTCGCCTAGCGAACAGTAATTTTTGCACGTGAGGTGCCTCTGAACAATCAAACCGACCCTGAGACATTTCTAGATGCTCGCTAGGCGAGCAATTCCTTTGCTTAGCGAAACCTTCGCTGCATCTTCGCCTAGCAAATTTATGCTCATTTTGCCCCTCCCTCAAGTCTGAGAGTGTTCGCTAGAGCCTCGCTACCACTTCGCATAGCGAGTTCTTTGCTTATTTGTTCGCCTAACGAACTTTGTGAAGTTTTGAAGGGAGCTTCGCTAGCAAGTTCGCCTAGCGAACTTGCTGTTGTTTGCATGATGTCTTGGTGTCTTTGGCATATTTCTTGTGTCTTAATTTCCATTTGTTTTGTGCCTAATTCCTGCACAATAGCACACAAGTCAAAGGTACCAAGAGATTTTCACAATAAATTACAAACCAAACAAAGCAATAGTGGTTTTCTACACTTTCATGACAAAAATAAGTGAAAGATGCCAACATTTGATAGATGAAATAAGTGAACCTGCAACCTTCGCTAGCTCCTTCGCAGTGCGAACCTGGGGCGAGTATTCGTCAGGTCTTCGCACAGTGAAGTGTATAGCGAACATGATAATATTTTGCTTTCTTATTCTTTTTGTTGAACTGATTTGTTATGTGGTTGTTGTTTTTTCTTGTCTTGTGTTTTTTGTACAGATGGCATCCAGGTCGATAGCATCCAAGAAGCGAAAGGTCTGTAGCACCTCATAGCCCCAATCAATCCAGTATGATAGTGAGAGATTTATGGGTCCAAAGCAAGCCGCTCGATACGTGGCGCTGGAAAAAAGAAAGATTTTACCAGAGAAAAGGTTCCTCATTCATCTGGAGGGATCTTACCGGACTTTTGCAGGACTCATAAACAGTAAGAAATAGAACGTGTTGGTGACATCGACAGACATCTATAACACAGAGGTAGTGCGGGAGTTCAATGTCAACGCTTTTCTAAACGACTATGAGCCATTCACCTAGACCACAAGGGTATTGGGAAGACCGGTCAGCTTTGACAGAGATGCCATCAATATGGTACTCGGAAGACCGCTTAGCTTGGGTGAATATGAAATTGATGATTACCATCGAGATCTGAGACTTCACAGAGATACAAATTTGATTTCCGATGTTTTTTTATTGGAAGGTAAGACTGTAAAATTGAACCCATCTGGGGTTCCAAGGCGGTACCATAGGGAAGACATGAAGCTTTTGCCTCAGTTAGTGTTGTTGTTGATTTTGACGAACATTAAGCCAAAATCATATATGTCTACTGTGCCGATCCCAATGGCACATTTGGTCCACTCTATTATTACTAATGTCCAGATTGATGTGGTTCGGATCATTGTCGATGAGATGCGATTCGTGGTGGAGAGTGGATTGAAAGCGGGGGCGAGAGTTAATTGTCCCCTCGCTTTTCCTTGTCTCATCATGGTGTTGTGTCTTCAGGCGAGGGTGAAGTTACCTTCATGTAGACGGGTGACGATTCCAGCTGCTATTAATGATATATATATATATATATATATATATATAT